CCCATCTCCATCTTTCTCTCTCTGCTCACCAGTCACCTTAGGGTGTTGGGCAACAGTGAGGTGGGCAACAGTCCTCCTCCCGTCATCAAGTTAGGAAAATCATTTAACAATTTCGCGATCCTATCTCTTTGTTCTCCAGTCTCATCTGTCTGCACACTTCTCTCTGTCAGCTCCTTTTGCCCCCTCTCTCTTCACCCTCCTCTTTTATATCATCCCATCTCCACCTCTCTAACTCCTCCCTCTCCTGTCTCTGTTTCTCTTCCCCTAGAAACACTTCCACTGCCTTCATGACTCCTGTTCCTTCATCGTCCAACTTTATCAGTTCCCCCACTGCACAATCGTTGTGTTCTTTCTTTGGTTCCTTCACGGAGGACGGCACACTTCCCCCATTCACATGATTATTGCCAGACAAACAGGACACAGAGAAGAATGAGGTACAGTATACATGAACCTGAAAGAGCAGCAGGCTTAGTCAAGGTGAGCTACATGACAAGCTGTGAGAGCAAGGAATCTGATAGGAAAGACACCTACCTATAAATGGGTAAGACAAATAACTAGAGTGACAGACAAAAACAAACTCAGTTCACATCCCAAAGGATTTTCAGAGGTACTCCTAAATTCTCACATCTGGGAACTTTGATCCAAAATGGAGCAAATGCAAAACAAATGAAGGATTGTTTGGAAGGCCTCACAAACACAGGTGGAAAAGAAACATCAGCCTTTTTTTCTTGTTTTTACCATAGCTGATAAAGAAGAAGGTTTAAAAGGATCTCCTGGCTTCCTAATTACCAAAAATATGAGCAAGAATGTTAGAAAGATTTCTCATATTTAACCACTCAAATACAGCAACAAGAAGGAAATATGCAAAGAACTGCATTTCACGCACTGGTAGAATTTTACAAAAACACACACCGTACTTTTTAAACTTGTACCATTTTGTTAATTTAAAGGGTCTCTTGTGCGCTTTATATCTGCCGTGGTGTTACTAGTTTTGATAAGCAGATAGTAATTCAGTTTCGTCACTTTTGTTTGCTTTCCCTTAGATGTCCCAGTAATCTGGCAGATCCTCCTAAGTGTAACTCTTTGTTGTTAGAATCACTGAAGAGTAGATTTTAAACACTTCCAGACCCTTATGTTGGTGTGATCATTTCAAGCAGGTAACATTTCTGATGAAAGACCAAACATCTGGGCATAGATAAATGTCAGAATACTGAAAGTTCCATAGCACTTATGTAAATTCATAATTATAAATTACTATGCAGCAGTAAAGTGGGATTTGCCATCAAGTATGCAACAGAAAGCTGCTGATAGTCCTGACTATTGCAAAGAATAGAATGTATGCTCCAAACAATCTTGTCTTATTTATGTGTTTCATTACCAGATGTACAGCTGAGCAAATATCAAGCACAAACAAAAAACAGTGACTGAAATTCTGTTGCTTAGTGTAGTAAGTCATATTAAAGTAGGCCCACTCCATCTGTGGGGATTTGCTAACTCACCATAGCTGTAAATTCCATTGATTTAAATGCCCTTATTTTAGTTATGACTTACAAAGCTAAATTAAGTCACAACTAGAGTAGGCCCATTTGAATCAATGTAATGTACAGAGGAGATGACTCACCAATCCCCACTGATTCAATGGGCCAACTTACTACGCTAAGCAACAGGTTTCTAGCTGGTGTGTAAAATAACTCAATATGTTTGTTCATAAAGCATTCATTGCACTAAGAGTTTTTTTTAAATCATATTAGTGTTAATATTATTGTTTTAGGTATATTTAAATACTTATTTTGCTGCCTGAGCAGCCAGAGGAGGACCAGGAGGACCAGCTAAAACACACACCAGACAACAACATTTGGAATAAACAGAGCACAACTCCAGCAGCTGAGGGTACAGTTTCAGTTCAGCATGGGAGACTGATCCTGATATCAGCCAACCCCAGTTGCTGATTGATGGGCCACTCCCTCCCCAGAACTCCAGGATGACAGGGGACCACAGGGATGTAAGTCACCAGTTGGCCCCTCCCCTCACCTGGGAATGAAGTGGGCGTCACAACCCTCCCATGATCTCTTAAGGACATCTCCACCCATGGAGATAGATGCCTGGACATGCCAGCCCTCCCCACTTCTCTGCTAGATCTGGCCCCATGTCTAAATCTCCCCACAAAATTGTGACCGGAAAATTAAACACAAATCCATTAGCCACCAGAGAAACCCCAAGGAAATTGATATCTGAACATTTTAACAAAAGGAACGGTGGGCAGGTGTATATTCACACCAAGTGGCTACTTCTTTGCAGCCACCATGTGCTTTTATTCTTCCCAAGTGGATGAGACGAAAAACTTCTTTCCACGGGTCCACATGGCAAGCTGTTCCCACTAGCTGTTCTCCAACTGGTGCAGCCTATGGTGCTGGGACCTCCACCTGCTATGGAGGCTCCAAGTAAGACTTTACTTGCCACAGGTATCGGGATAAGCCCCAAGCCCACACTTGCTGATTTACTCTCACATAAAGGAACATGCATAAGTTGTAGCAGCAAATTGCTGCTCATTTACAAGGTATTGGTTGCATTCCAGGGTGTATATCTAGGAATATAACAGCACTTCATTCATGACTGGTAATCTGCTGCCAAGACTTGTGCAAGTTCCCTTACATAAGAGTAAAACAACAAGTATGGGCTTGGGACTTACACACTTTTCTTTACACAAACATAAATCACCAGTAAGCTTCTGACCTTTGTGATAGAACTACGACCATCACCAACATCAGCAAATGTACTGATGCAGTTAGGCCACCCAAGATGCACAAGCAACATATCACTCATCCAAATGGTTTTAGCAGACCCACATCAAACCCATCTGCTACCACCAGAACTTCATCCCCCAAAGAGGCCGGCCCTGATGCAAATCCACATCCAATCACAGTGACGGGGCAGGACTAGGGAGACCAATCTTCCTCCTCACTCGGAAAGCTCACTGGCTGACTTTGCACCAAATACCAGCTCTCGGTTCCAGCCTACCTCGCAAGCTTGGGGCAAGGATAAAATAGGGAGGGGGAAAGCTACACAATACTACCCTGAGATTCCTAGAGGAAAGTAGGAGATGAAAATGTATTGAATCATGCTTGGTTTCATTTACTTAACCAAATTTTCTTTTTCTGTATTGTGGGGGGTGGGAGTAGAAGGGGGAAGAGAAAGCTATTGGAGATAGGTATGCTTCCTGGTTGCTGAGCATTCTGACCTCACTTGATTGATAATCCCCTTCCCCAGCTTTCTGTCCAAGGTTGCAGGAGGAACAAGCCCCAGTCCCCACCTCCCTCAGCTGTCATCCTGTCAAAACAAAGGCTCTGTTGCCAAGACCAGGGGGAGGGAAGAGAAGAAGGACGAGAGAAAGCAGGAGGAGCTGCAGCTCCAAGTCCCCAATCCAAGCTTCTCCTCTTCTGCCCTCCTCCCACTAGTATGCTGGCATTGCAGACAGCTGGATACAGAGAGCTGGAATGGCATTTTTGAAGGGGGGGGGAGAACCCCACAACAAAACAGGGGGAGGGGACATGTATCTCTCAGTGCACACAGGAGGCTCTTAAAAACCGTTTGTCTCAGTGCCGAACCCTGTGCTTATATGACAAGCCACTGGGACACCATTTTAGACAGCACGTAACACAGTGAAAAACATAGGCTGGCATCTCCTGCTGAGACCACATTTCCTGCTCTTTGGAAAATGTGGCTTATTCCCTGCCCTTTCTATGTATCACTTTCTCCAAAAGAGGCACAGATATCCTGCTTTGTCAGTCCTCAGGACCCCTTAGGATTCCTTACAAATTGATCCCTTTAGCTCCTCATGCAGAGAACTGTAGAACCACCCCAACCCTGGGCAACCTGTAATAATAAAAAGCACCCCTTCCAAAATGAAATATGCTAAATATGTTCTAAACAGTAGACTGGGTGCTAAAACGATACCAAAAAAAGGGTAGAAAGGTAGAAGCTGTAGGGAAGGGACCCTGCGGATAATTTATAGAGGGCTAAGGAGACCAGATCATTTGGAGTGGTAGTGTCAGAAAGGTTATTGTGTAAGGCGATTGAGTCGAAATGGGTCACACAGAAATAGGTCACAGAAGATGACAGAAAATTGTCACAAGCGGGAGGTTCAGTCTACGGCTTGCAAAAGAGTCAGGCATCAGAAAGGAAGGCAAGGATAACGTAGGCTACTGTGTTTCAGAGCCCAGCGAGACATAGATGCTTAGCACTAGGAGTCTGAGAGATGCAGTTTTGCAAGTGAAGAAACAGGGGAGGTCGGCTGTGACACATTCCAGCCTATGAATGATACTCCCGTCAAAACCTGAGCACCACTTAGCACGTGCAGAGTGTTTTTCCTTGCTCATTAAACAACTAGACTTATGCACATCTGCTACTTAAGGATCAAAACCTCCAAGGCAATTTTCATTGCCAGCGTGACTCCTGAACTTTCTGTTTTCTAAACAAATCTACTATTTCGTACCCCTGCATTAGGAGCCAGGACACACAATTAACCAATTTTGCTTCCCAAACAAAAACCAAGCTAGAACCGCCATCATTGCTTTGCGTGGCTCTTGACAGTTTGGATATGGCTGTGTAACAACCCACGTTTTGACTATCCTAAGGAATCGAGACCCTATTGCGAGATAACTACTCCGAATTAAACCACTGGGAAGAGGAACGGCACCAATGTGCAGACGGAGACATTACGCGAAGCTCTACTTCCGTAGCAAGAAACCTGTTGCCAGGCTGACACCAAGTGGGAAGCCGGTGCGGGGAGAACTCGGCCGGGGCGCGCTCGCGTGCCTGCGGGTGCGCGAGCGCCGCCACTCCGCTTTAAGGGCCCTCTTATTTACTCCGGTTTCCAAAAGAGCCACTCCCGAGCGTCCCCATCAACAACTCAGGGCGCCCCCTAGAGGCAGCAGCGGGAAAGAAGGAAACGCGGCCGCCCCTTCGCGCTTCTCGCCCCCCATCCCGGGTCGGGCGGGTACCTTGCAGGCGGAATAGACGCCCAGCTTCTCGAGCTTCTTGGCGCGGGGTGCGGAGCGGAGCTGCGCCTTCTTGCCCGCGATGCGAGCAGAGCCCGGGGAAGCGCCGCCGCCGCCGCCACCGCTGCC